AAAAACCTCACACACTGAAACATCTGCATTGAGTAATGTATGTTTCAAGAGACGGAATGTTTCCATGGGACTCAGAGTATAGCGCTTTTTTTTTTTTTTTTTTTTTTTTTTTTTTTTTACATTAAGCTTTAAAAAGTATATCGAGGAAGATACTATCAAAAGACTTGATAATGAGGTTATTATGCAAAATTTTCAAAGCAATAAAACTCGTCAGTAGGGATGGTTGTACATTAATAATTGTTGAGTTTAATTCTGATAAAGATTTCTGGCTTCATCACTAAGTAATGGAATTTAAACTAGAAATTTCCCATTTACCAGACCCATCTTTAAGAGTAAACCCAATATCAGGCTACCACCGGTAGAACAAAAGGAAATTCCACTTAAATATCGTTTGGTTATTAGTTAGAGCATCATTGGTAGCTGCCCCTATAGATTCTTTACCTTTTCAACAATTTAATTTGGAAAATATTCAATCCGGTCGTTATATATATATATATATATATATATATACACATATATATTTCCAACTTTGTGCACCCCACAAAAATCACAGTTGGTAACAACTTGTAAGTCGCTTTCTTTTTCAACAGCCCATAAATACATTAATGACCAAATGGGAAAGAAAGTGACTGGCAACCATTTGATTCCCAGGGTTCTTCATGCATGCATAAGGATTTTATTACTTAGCAGGCCATTTATTGCGTCGACCAAACTGAGGGCACTTATAAATCGTATTTTTCAAAACGTCAACTAGCATATGTAAAAAGTACTATTTATTGTTATCTGATTCATTTTATATACCATAAATAAAACAGATTGTGGTATCTACATCATATTGTATAACAAGTTTATACATTTTAACTTATGTATAAAAATAGAGAGCTTTTACCGTGAGATCTCTAAAAAAAACTCATCGGTTGAACATTCTACTCTAACCGTTGGATTAATTCTCTGTTTGTTTCAACCATATGAATTGTTGTTTATGATTCAAACTGTAGTTCAAGATTTAAATTAATGTTTGGTAGAGGACAATTCAAACTACTCACAATGGGTCAAACTCTTAGATTTTAGAATTCACCACCCCCTAAATTCTAACAATCCTAATTGTTTTCTATAGTGAAAACAATTCCGATTCTACTTTTTCTTTATCTTCAATTTTAAGCTTAAAAATGTTATTACTTTTTCATTTTAATTCTGATTGAGATGATTTTTTTTTTTAATGTGATCATAATGAATAGAGGAACAAATCCTCATTCATATTGCATAGTTTTGGATGCCATTTACAATGAGATTTTATAAGATTTGTTACAAAACTCTAATGACAGTTTTCAACACTTTATCCGAACACAATTCGGATTTTATTTTCAATTCAAATTACAATTTATTTGCATATCCAAATACCAGTTCGAATCACAATTTAATGCACCACAATTCAAATCACCACAACTTAACCAAATCAACAATTTGAATCGTTGAACCAAACAAGGTCTAAGTTTTCAACAGTCAATTCTGTGCATGTCCGTATTAAAAATTTATAACACACCGCATAAAACTACGTGCTTTATCGTCAAAAAAATAATTGAACGATTAAAAGAGGGTATTCCACCTATAGATTTTTAATGGGTCTCACAGTAAATCCTAAAAACACATATAGGGCCCGTTCACTTCGCTGATTCGAGTTTATAATTTGAGTTGAGATGTGATTTTGTGTGAGAGCTTTTTACTGTAGCAAAAAAGTTAGATGTGACTGTTTCTGAGAGCTTTTTACTGTAGCAAAACTCGAATTCTAAACTCGAATCGACAAAATGAACGAGACCATAATCATTAATACCACACAATGCAATATGGTTCACAGTTACTAATTAATAATCAATTCAGCAATAGCAAATTAGTTTTTCTTGGAAATGTTTTGCATCATAATTACGTTATACATGAAGCTTTCTTTTTATGTGTTGACCCTTTTATTTCCGATGTACTAATAAATTATCATAGGCATTTGAAGGATTCCAAACTATCAAAATTGTCGGTCGGGAGCAGACAGACTAACGAAATGGTACGCCTTGAATTTTGTACAGGCCAGGCCATACACTGTACATCATGCATGAACAACGTCCTTGAATTTTGGTGGGCTCCATAATTGGAATCTTCATTTTGATTGAGCTGGGTTGACCTAGCCCAAGTATTCATCCAGATAATGGGCCTAAGCCCTTATGATTTGGAGAGAAGCAGAAAACAGCCTCACTGAGGGAGTAAGAGAGTTGGTATTCTATGGGCTTGTTTAGTAGAGTTTTTTAAAGAGAAATAGTAGAAAATGGGCCATGAAAAGCTTAAGAAAGTATATAGGTTAATTTTTAGTTATAAAAATTAATAGGCCATAACTTGTCAAGTTATGGTTCATAACCAGATAAGTTATGGACAAACTTGTCAAGTTATGGTTCATAACCAGACAAGTTATGGACAAAAATCGTGAATAACTTGTCAAGTTATGGTTTATAACCAGACAAGTTATGGACGAAAACAGTAATTTGGCCTATTTATTAACTTATGTAAACTATTAGCCTATTAATTTTAATTCATCTCAAATATTGGCCTATTTCCCTCTTTCTCCCTTTTTTAAAAGCTATTTTTGATTTTTTGACTCTAAAAGTTATTTGGGAGAAAGAGGGAAATAGACCAAGACTTGAGATGAATTAAAATTAATAGGCCAATAATTTACATAAGTTAATAAATAGGTTAAATTACTGTTTTTTTTTCAAAACTTGTTTGGTTATGAACCATAACTTGACAAGTTATTGTTCATAATTCACAGTTTTTATCCATAACTTGTCTGATTATGAACCATAACTTGACAAGTTTATCCATAACTTATCTAGTTATGAACCATAACTTAACAAGTTATGGCCTATTAATTTCTATAACTAAAAATTAGCCTATATACTTTCTTAAACTTTTCATATTGGCCTATTTCCTGCTATTTCCGAAGTTATTTTTGAAATTGTTTGAATGCTCTATTAGCTTCAATTTTTTAAGAGTGCTTCTAATTAAGCCACAAAATGAAGCTTCTAAAAAGAAAAATACTTTTGAATACTTTAAAACTTGTAGTAGAGTATCATTAAAGCATTACAAACTTAATTTTAATACTTTTATTACTTATTATAAAAATTTAAAAATAGTTTTTAACTCATTAAGCTCTTTTATTTTAAACACTTAATGAAAAGTCACAACTTTTACTTAAGCAAAAACTCTACCAAACGAGCCCTAACACTAGATCTGAGACTAAAATAAAAATAGTAGGTGAATTAGAGGAATATAGCTTTTAAAGAGTTTATACTCTAATAATCACTTATTGGGGAATTTTTTAGTTCTAATTAAAATTATACGGATGAGTAACTAGACTTTAAAAATGGTACCAGACCTAATCCTAAAACGAAAATAGTAGAAAATATGCCAATATGAAAAGCTTAAGGAAGTATATAGGCCAACTTTTAGTTATAGAAATTAATAGGCCATAATTTGTCAAGTTATGGTTCATAACCAGATAAGTTATGTACAAACTTGTCAAGTTATGATTCATAGCCAGACAAGTTATTGACAAAAACTGTGATTTATGGACAATAAATTGTCAAGTTATGATTCATAACCAGACAAATTATGAACAAAAACAGTAATTTAACCTATTTATTAACTTATGTAAACTATTGCCCTATTAATTTTAATACATATTAAGTTTTAGTATATTTTTCTCTTTCTCCCATCCTAAAAGTAGTACCGGTAAACTAGAATGTGTCTAAGTGATAATGGGCCTAAGTTACGCACACTCCCTTCCTCCCTCGTGTATATTAAATAATATAACATTTCTTAAAATCAAGAGTTACTCATCTGTACTATTTTGATACGAAAACTGCGTTTAAATTTTTTAGATAATTAGACGAAGCAGAAAATTTTCATACCTTGAATTAAAATTTAATAAACTTTTAAAATATTATTATAATAGCAAAAAAAAAAACTAGTAATTATCATAATCATATCACATTTTGTACTATATAATTATATTGTTAATATTTTAGTGATATCAAATTTTACAATTCTTATAATATTTTAAAAATTTTGTTATATTTTAACTAGAGATGAAAGTTTGGGTCATCTGACCCAGTCATCCATAAAAATTGAGAAAAAGAGAGAATTAGGCCAAAACTTGAGATGAATTAAAATTAATAAGCCAATAGTTTATATAAGTTAATAAATAGGCCAAATTACTATTTTCGTCCATAACTTGTCTGGTTATGAACCATAACTTGATAAGTTATTCACGATTTTTGTCAATAACTTGTCTGGTTATGAACCATAACTTGATAAGTTTGTCTATAACTTATCTGGTTATGAACAATAACTTGATAAGTTATGGCCTATTAATTTTTATAACTAAAAATTAGTCTATATATTTTCTTAAACTTTTCATATTAGTCTATTTTCTACTATTTTTTATAAAAATTTTGAGCCGGGCCAGCTGGCCCTAAAAAGGAAAGGGACGGCATAGTCCGGCCCTAAAGCCTAACATGCCCGGAACGTTATAAGATATTTATATTTTCGGAAAAAAATTGAAAAGAGGTGATCAGACCAGCCCGAATAAGTTTTTAGGCTCAACATCTCGGGCCCACAGTGACGAGCATTGGACTGGCCGTTTAACCCTGCTGAAACTTGGAGCTCTAATGTCAACTTTATATTTTGCTACATGCACTAAATGGACATATTTGGGAGAGGTAATCACCCCGTTGTATTGGGCTCCATCATTGTTTCCAGCCCGATTTCCCGAAACAACGAAATGGGCCTGAGCCCAGTCTTATTTGGAGGAGACCGGTTAGAGTTTTCCGGCCCGTGAATTTCACTAGGGTTTTAGGTAAGCGCAATAAGGAGGCAGAGAGAGAAGAAATTATACTCTGTTTCTAGGGTTTATCGGTCGGTAAAGGCTAGGGTTTGACGCTCTCGAGAAGGACAAAAGAAAAGGGAAAGATGGATTCGTTTTCTTCTCCGTCGAGCGGATCTTCGAGCCAATTCAATTCCGATGTTTTCAAGGACCAGCTCAAGAACCAGCTCGCCCAGGCTTACGCTGAGGAGTTTCTTGAGGTACAATTCTTTTAATTCTCTCGATTTTTCAATAGTTTTTGTCATGTAAATCTGCTTGTTGGTGCCGATTATTGATTGTAAAATTGCAATAAAATTGGTGCGCCGTAATTTGACTCTCCCTGTGAAAAATCCCGTCCTTTGCTTTTGACATAAAGTTTACCTCATTGATCTTATAATGGGATGATTTGGGTCATTATATTGAAGATGTTTTCCAACTTTACCATATTATCATTAGCCCAAAAAGCAAAAGAAAAAGGAAAGTTTGAATTTGATTCGAATTCATGTACCTCAAAATTTACAAGTATTTGGATTTCTTCAAAATCGATGCAATGTGAATTCGTGAGCGTCATGAATTTCTTTCACGGTTTATTCTTTGTGCTTCAGTGTACTGAAAATGTGTTTTTATTTTTATATTTGTTCTGTTTTATTTGGTATACAGACTCTAAGGGCAAAGTGCTTTGACAAGTGTGTAACAAAACCGGGATCAAGCCTGAGCGGAAGTGAGAGCAGTTGTATATCTAGATGTATGGATCGCTATGTCGAGGCCACTGGTATCATTAGTAGGGCTCTATTTAGTGGGCCACCACAATGAAAATTTTTGTTTTCTTTTATGAAGAAACAGTGTCAAATTCTGATTGAAAACCTGTTGTTTCAAATTGTCATCCCGAACTAAAATTTTCCTTAGGGATATATGTGTATTGTTTGCAGTGCACATTATGCTGATTTTTGTACTTTAGCTTTGCAAACTTTTTGCGTCTTTCATCAAATTTTCCTTCTGGTTAAATTATTTGAATCATAGATACTTTCATGTACTGGTTTAATATTACAATAAGAGAAAGAGTGAGAACATGACAACACAATTATATAAAGAACAGTCAGTACACAAAGCCAATCATCTATAGTCTTTATTTTGATGTGAAGTTATAGTTGTCTCTTTTTTAGCTTCGCATGTGGAGAAATTCTGGTTCCTCCAGCAGTGTGGGACTTGATTCTGAACAATCGAACTCATACTAATCTTCTTTTCATCTCAGACCCCTCTCTTTTTCTCATACTGCACTTAACAATCCAAAACAGAACGGCCTTGTCCTTGATGAATGAAGTCGTTTCTAGACCACCTTGGGGATAAAAACTGTTTTACTTTTGTATCTAGAGGTTTAGATATTACAATTTTTCTGCCTAAATAGTTCAAAGGAGATTTTATGCGTCTTTTTTCCTCTTGGAAATTTTAAGGTTTAGAATAGTTCCATTTGATATAAATTAGTTTCCATGACATTTGTGAAAAGAGAAATGCTAACGTCACTCTTTTTGTCACTCATTGTATTCATTGTTTGACATATAGAAGACTTAAAAATTTAAACAAAATAAAATAAAAATGTGCAGGTCTTAAGTGCCGGAGAAGGCCCATTCAAATGCTTGAACAACCGCATTCAGCAGCAGCCAGAATCGAACAATCGAGTGTTTGAAATTTCAACAAAACCTCATTTTAACAACTGTTTACTTTTTCATAAAATCGTGATTTTTTTTTAGAAATTAATTATTTAAGGCACATTTTGTCTTTATATATATATATATATATTATTATCAAGAGATGTTGATTATTATCATAAAGTTACGATCTTTATGATACTTTACATATACTACACAAAAATTGCCAATCTTTTCAAATTTTTAATGTTATGCCATTATAAGACATAAAGTTGCAACTTTACACTTATGTTTGTTAATTATCAGAGTTTTTGTTATTCGATTTTGATGATTACAATAATGAACATTATCGTAAAATTGCTTTCTTTATGCAAATGATCATCTTTGCATATTGTACATACACATTGCTGACCTTTTCAATTGTTAATCCTATTTCAGAATCATAAAATTGCAATTACCCGTTATTACGGGTAATCGTGTTATTATACATATGATTCTATAAAGTTTTGTAACAAAATAAAATAGTATGTCTTTAAAGTGAACATTAAGAGCATCTCTAATGTAGTGATAAATTAGTGTATTCGAGCCAAATTTAACATTTGAGTAGTAAAAATATTCTTCAACAAAGTGTTATTTTTGGTGTTGTATTTGGTATGTCATATTTGGTGCCAAATTTTGCATGTACTAGTATCTTTTAATCTAAAGTTTAACATCTGATGGTTGATGTATTGACCTTTAAAAAAAAAATCATTACAACATTATTGTTTCAAATATATTCTGAAATTAAAAGCACACCATCTCCAACCAGATCTCTCTTGTGTAGGTTGTGGATTTATGTATAATTTTTTATATTTTGTTATTTATTTTGTTGTAATAATGGCGATAGTTTTCTCATTTCCTGGTGTGTTTCTCCAGTTAGAGGGTGGTTTCCGCACCTCTCTCATAGTCTGTGGTGTTTTTTCCTTTAGTCAGCAGTTGGCTTCCCCACCGCTGCTAGAGGTCCATTATAAGATTAGGATCTGGCTCACTTTGAGTCAATTTTTTATTACCAAATATTATAGAGCCACTTTTGGGAGGTGTTCTCCCTGTTATTGGATTAGGAGTTCATTTCTAATGTTTAGTCTTGTAAGTGACACTCATTCTTATGACTTTGGTGCAGTCATATATTTTAACTCTGTAATGATCTTTTAATGAAATTATGATATTTACTTTTAAAAAAAATAAAATAACATATTTCTTATTTAATATGTTATTCCTTTTTTTTTTTTACAGATAAATATAACGATTTTATTGTGTTATCGTAAGTATAATTTTTCATATTTCATACCTTTTTACGAAAGGATTACAGTAAGATTGCCCACTTAAGCAAGAAAAAAATATATATTCATTTTGGTCAACTGCTTAATTATTGCTTTTGAGTCTTTGACAAATGACAACGATGAAGATGACAAACAACATTAATTCGAAACAAAATTGGCTTTCTCATCCATCATGTCCCATTTACGGCACATCTAATTCTTCATCTTATCTGAAATAATAATCCAATCATCACAATATATAAAATGATAGTAGTTTCTTGGAGATATTTTTTTACTATATCATGAACAGTACTTCGGTACTGAATATACATTATTTTATTGCCAAATTCTCATTAAGTTTCACTGGATTTATTAAATATGTTCATAAATTCCCAAATAATGCAAATATAATTCAACTTCAGAAAACGTGACATCCAGTCATCTGCCGTAAGTATTCTCTAATTTGTTTTTGTTTTTTTTTTTTTTGACGTTTTTTTTGTAAACTTTGTGACGTGCAAAGAAATCATTGAGATCGAAAAAATAAAACCCTAAAAATCAATGAAAACTAAACAGAAGAAGAAAAAAAAAAAAAAACCTTAAAATCAAAGTACCGCCCTTAGTTTTAGGATTTGACTAACGATATTTGAAAGCGAAGTGTATGCATACGTAAGTGGGAGTGACGTTGATAAAGTGATGTATGAAGTGAATATAAAAGTTGGGATTCAATTATTGAAAACGGGAAAAAAAAAAAAAAAAGAGTTAGAAGTGTTGCAATTTGCAGGCAAATAAGTTATGATGAAGATGTCGACCAACCATTTATTTTATTTTATTTTATATTGTTTGGAACTATACATAACATAAACTGGCCTAACCAGAATGTGACAGGCAATGTGAATTAAATAATAAAAAATAAAAAACCAACCCCATTGACCGACATAGTGGTTGCTTTCATGCCAAACTCTGCACTTATCAGATTATTATCACCACAAGCACAAAAAATAAAAAATAAAAAAAAAGAACAATGGGTATAATCATTGTAAAAATAACTTTTTGAAAAATTTTATTAGTAAAATAATTTTTTAAAAATTTTTATTCGTAAAATGATCTTCTTTTTATAAAGAATGAGTAAATGTCTTTCTTCATAAAAAATAGAATAAGGTTATTTTGTTAATTTTATTTTGTTGGATAGTCATTCTAGCATATTACCCTCATTTATAGTAACTTTATTTTTTATGGTAGTGTAATTGTATTTAGGGTTCTTTTTTTTTAATTAAGAGTTAAATTATGTGATGTGTTTAAATAAGATTGTTCATTTTAAGACTGTTTATGCTATTAATATAAATAATGAGCTAATTTTTGCTAGTAAGATAATATGAGCTGGTTTTTTTTTTTTTTTTTTTTTTTTTTTTTTTTTTTTAAGATACTGGGCTAATTTAATTGGAGGAATTCTCTATCTACAAAATGTGTTCTTATATTGAATGCGTCATTTAGATAGAGAAAGAGTAACTATAAAACTATTGTGCAGAGAGACTATAAAACTATTGTTCAAACCTTTTCACCATACGTCCTTAGATGTATTTGGGTTAGTTTTGACAAGTAAAAGAGTCTTAAAATGATCAAATTATGGCAAAATTATATGCGAGAATCTTTAAGATTTAAATTATCTGCGAGCTCTTTGAAAATTCATCCTAACATCATTTCATTATAAGTACTCTTAAAGACTTTTTGTTTAAAAGTAAGGCAATTTTTTTGTCCTACCAAAAGAATATCAATTGTACAGCATCAACAAGACATTTTTTTTTTTTTTTTATCGTATTAAAAAAAATCTCCAACACTCTTTTTATGTAAAATCTGTTATAGTATTATGATACTTTTTCATATTCCATTATAAAAAAATTCTTCTTATTTCTCTTAAAATCCTTGAATAAAATCAAATCATAAGGTTCTATATGTCTCTTAAATTCTCATTTGTGCCCAGACAAAAATTTTGGCATCCAAGGATGAGAATAATATTTTTGATTTAAAATCAAATCATGTAGGTCACGTTCATTTCACCGATTCATGTTTTGCTACAGTAAAAAGATCTCAGAAACAATCGCATCTAACTTTTTTTGCTACAGTAAAAAGCTCTCACATAAAATCATATTTCAACTCGAATTAAAAATTTAAATCAGCAAGCTAAACGGGTTCGTAGTATGTTTTTATTCACTTGTATAATATCATTTGTGCATTCCTATAAGTTTATAACACTTAGGTTGTTCTTTTAGAGTGTAACTTGAGTGTAGTTTTTGAATTGAATTTGAGTTATAACTTGAGTTGAAGTTAGAACTTGAATAAAGTTGAGTAAAATTAAAATTTAAAAAACGTGAACTTAAATAAAGTTGAAACTTGAGTTGTCTTTTTTGAGTGTTTTGAATAAAAGAACATGCCTGTCTAAATGTAAGATTCAATAAAATATAACTTATCACTACATGACGGCCTCGTTCATTTTACCGATTCGAGTTTTCAGTTCTAGATTTTTACAGTAAAAAGCTCTCAGAAAATGTCACATCTAATTTTTTTTGCTACAGTAAAAAACTCTAAAAAAATATCACATCTTAACTCGAATTGAAAACTCGAAGCCGACATGTATTACTTACTTTAGCATTATCATATTACACTAAAAAATTATGAATTTATATATAAAAAAATATCACACAGCCGATAAGACTTTGCATTATATCTTATGTTTTTCCTCTGTTTGAAAAGGATGGTGGTATGATTGGATCTTCGAAGGCTATATGACGCCAAAGGTGATGAAGCTGTTGTTGGACGTCATAGGCTTGACATCATCGCTCTTACAACTTGCAAACTTACAATCTGTTAGGGCCAGTCAACACAATCTGTACAAGTTAGTAAATAATCTTTCCAGAAGCAGCAAACAAAAATGTCACATCAATATATTTTTTTATAGTAATATCACATCAATAGTTGCCTTGTTTCAGACACTTGAGACAGCTATATGCCCACTAAGATATATTGCTAAACCCGGTTATAGTAATGACGTGCATATTCAGTATTCCATCAGTAAAATGTAATTTTCTATCAGCATCACGAGTATATATTGTCATTTTTTTTTTTAAAAACTCAATTGATGAAAATGATTAAAACTTAAACAAACCGTAAATCAAGATAAATTTTAGATAGTTTCAAAAATTAAGGACAAAAATGATATTAGAAATAAAATTTGGGAGTTTAGTCTTCACTCTTCTGTGTGGCATTCATTCTCGTTTCCCTTTTGAAATCACATTCACCTGCGGTTGTAACACCTTGTAAAATCCAACCACTTTACCTACTTCATTGCCTCCGTACCTCTGTTGAAATAGGATGGTTTCATGTTAATTTCTACAAGGATTGGTTATTCCTCCGGGAACTATTTAATTATGAGATTAACTTATAAATAAATGCATCTTGGCTCTAAAATCTGCACGTTTTTATATGCATCTGTCGGTAAACTTTGTAGCAGAAGCCAAATAGAAATGAAACCACATAGATGTACCCTCAACTCGTGGAAATTTGTTGGTCAAACCAAAAGATGGGGAAAAAGAATTTGAAGAAGGCAAAACGCCACCCAACTTTTTTTTTTCCCCCCTTTTCTTATAATGAGATTTAGAATTTGCGATTGAGATGAGATGAAATATTCGAACTTTTTTTTTGTCATTTATAAGTACATTAATTATTAGACAATGGATCTTCTATCAGCCAAACAAAAAAAGACAATGGACTTTCCACTGCTCCACATGATCATGAATGGAATCAAAAGGTTGTTTGTGTTGATCAGCAACACAAAAAAAAAAAAAAAAAGAAAGTTGTTGGTGTTTATTATCGATAGGACTTCAGGTCCAAGTGTAGGCTCCACCACAATTATAGAGAGTACATACGTTTCATTTTGCAAATATAATTGCCCTGTTTGAAATTGTTATTGTTTTTATTTTTTATGTTTTTTCAAGAAAAAAAATAAAAACAATTTTAAAACAGTATTTGACATAATTAAAAAAAAAAAAATAATAATATTTTTTAATTTAGTGTAAAATATGAGAAAAATTAAAAATAATTTTTAGTTATTTTATTTTTTATTTTTATTTTCTCCTCTCTCGAGCAGAGAGAAATATACATTAATAGATTTTTTTATACTGAAAAAATCTCTTGATAAAACTACTAAACGCATTTTTAAAAATGATTTTTGTCTGAGATTAAAAACGTTTTCATTTCTATTTTCATATAAAAAATAAAATTATTTTAAAACGAATTCTAAACGCACGTATATATTATTTTTTTCTATAAAGGATTTTCCTCCATATGAGTGATTTTCATAATTAGTACGGTTCCTTTTTTAACTACGAGATATATAAGGATCTGTCATATTTATATATGGGAGAAAGAGTGAAATAGACAAAGATTTGAGTTGAATTAAAATTAATAGGTTAATAGTTTACATAAGTTAATAAATAGGCTAAATTATTATTTTTGTCCATAACTTATCTAGTTATGAACCATAACTTGACAAGTTATTATTTATTTTTGTCCATAACTTGTCTGGTTATGAACCATAACTTATCTGGTTATGAATCATAACTTGATAAGTTATGACCTATTAATTTCTATAACTAAAAATTAGTCTATATATTTTCTTAAACTTTTCATATTGGCCTATTTTCTATTATTTTTGTTTATATATTTGTACTAAATTTTCCACAGTAGTTCACATGGGTCGGTAACTCGTACAACACGTTTTTAGTGGGGGAAAAAATGATTTACATATTAGCGTAGAATTGCAGTATTTTAAAGCTTTCGTCATATGCTTGCACCGCCATTCGAGCTTTAAAAAGAAACACCACAAAGTTTAGAAGAAACATTTATCACATTTTAATTGTCCAAACAATTATTATTATTATTATTATTATTATTATTATTTATTCTTATTTTCACGGGCGCCACCTGTTTGGTACATGGTCGGCACCACAAAGTCCGTTATATCGTGCTGGTTACCATCAGCGTCTCTTCCCTAGAATCTTCTATAAATTGGTGTCACACCACATGACCTTATCAAGCCAAATCTCAAGTAGTACTCTTCATTTTCTACTGTCTTTGCATTAATAACAATGGCTGCCACAAAGCTACTGCTTGCCGACTTAGCATCCGACGTGAAATATGTTCCGTCTAACTACATCCGTCCTATGTCCGACCGCCCGAATCTCGACAAAGTTCACACGTCCGGCGCTTCCATTCCTCTCATTGATCTTCAAGGCCTCCGAGGCCCAAACCACCGCGATATTGTCAAACAGATTGGCCAAGCTTGCCAACATGATGGTTTTTTTCAGGTATATATATATATATATATATATATATATATTTATATATATGTATGTTCATGTTTATTTGTATATTCTCGAGAGTTTCGCGCAGTAATAAATACTGTCGAATTTACTTACTGTTTGATTCTGACATGATTCTGGTGGTCATGTAATTGTTCTAACTGGGCTTTGTTTTATTCTTTTTAGGTTACAAACCACGGGATACCAGAGGAGATTGTTAACAACATGCTGCGATTAGCAAGGGAGTTTTTTAGATTACCGGAGTCGGAGAGGCTGAAGAACTACTCCGACGACCCTTCGAAAACCACTAGGCTTTCCACTAGCTTTAATGTCAAGACTGAGAAAGTGGCAAACTGGAGGGACTTTCTGAGGCTCTATTGCTACCCTCTTGAGGACTTCATCAACGAATGGCCAACAAACCCTCCATCCTTTAGGTCACAACCATTTCTATGTGTACTCGTTGCTTTGCGTGTTTCTGAACGTCACATCATATAAAGAATCGAACAGCATATATATATGCAAAACTAACAAAATTTGATTTATCATATAAAGAATCGAACAGTATATATATGCAAAACTAACAGAATTTGAGTTTTTTTTTCCGCTTCGCAGAAAAGACGTAGCTAATTACTGCACGAGCGTGAGAGGACTAGTTCTGAGATTATTGGAGGCGATATCGGAGAGCTTAGGCCTAAACGTGGGCTACATTGAGAATGCATTGGGCAGGCATGGGCAACACATGGCAATGAATTACTACCCACCATGTCCACAGCCAGATCTCACTTATGGATTGCCCGGTCACACCGATCCGAATCTGATCACAGTTCTGCTCCAAGATGATGTTCCTGGACTTCAGGTCCTCAGAAATGGAAACTGGGTTGCAGTCAATCCTATTCCCAACACTTTCATTGTCAACATTGGTGATCAGATGCAGGTACTGTTTATTTGTACCCAACTCTTTTTCTTGCGTTTGTTTGTTTGTATGTTTTTCTTTTCATCATTTGTTTTCAAATCCTGTTCCTGCGCTTTTTGTTATTTTTACCATTCTTTTTCCCCTACTTTTCATCCCCTTTTTCTTATCATTTGTTTGCTCCCAAGTCTGATTCCCATTGATTACAACTTTTTTATTTTAATCGTTTTTTTTTTTTTTTTTTCTATTTCTTGTCATTCCCTTTTTGTTCTTTGGAAAGTGGGCCAAGATCAATGGACAAGAAAGTAATGGGATGTGAGTCATAGAGTTCGGTAGGGTAGAAAAAATGCCTGTTTGTTGGAGGGGAAAATAATATTAACATACTGAAGTATGGTGGATTGGTCAACCAGATCTTTGTCCAGAGATTATTTTAGGAGAGATTATAAAATAAAAGAAAGTTTTTTGTTTTTGTTTTTTTATTTTTGTTTTTTGAGTTACTTATCTCGTCGTGTAATACACATATTAAAGGAAAATGGTATAAGTTGTTAGTTGTAGCACTATTCTTATTCAAAAACAACTCTTATTAAGTTGACATTTGCGTGTGAGTCATTTAAAAAAAAAAGGAAAAAAAAAGCTGAACAAAACGTTTTTCAACCTATGAAATTGACACAATTACATAGAATTAGAACTCTGTGGATGAATAGAAGTGCTCTGAACCAAAAGATAAAAGTTGCTATAGAGTGTTATGTTGTCATATGTTATTGCATCAAAATAGAGAGACACATTTAAAAGTGTGACATATACTATTGGTTGTATTGGTATACATGTATTGAAGACTAAAAAAAATAAAGCTGAATTAGACTCTTCTGATGTATAGAACTTTTCGGTTTCATCAAAATCAAATCGTTATGTGGGAAGCGAAGAAAGTTGTCTACTAATTTCTTGTTCTTTGTGTTAATTAATTAGGTAATTAGCAATGATCGGTACAAAAGTGTTCTACATCGAGCCGTGGTTAACTGCAACAAGGAACGTATATCTATCCCAACTTTTTACTGTCCATCACCAGATGCAATTGTAGAGCCCGCCAAGCACTTGATCAACGAGGATGAACCCGCGGTCTACAGGAGCTTCACATATGCCGAGTTCTACAAAAAATTTTGGGACAGAGGACTCGCAACCGAGTGCTGCTTAGACATGTTCAAAAAAACTTGATGTGTTTGCGCCGTTAGATAACATAAATGTACTCTATTTCTTTTCGAAAGATGTTTAAGGGCATCACTAATGCTAAGCACCACCATTTAATAGAAGACGGTTCCACTTGTAAGATGTTTAAGGGCATTACTAATGCTAAGCACCACCATTTAATAGAAGGCGGGTTCCACTTGTGAGTCCCACGCTGCAAAATCCACCTTCTATTAGATGATAGTGACATTGCTCTTTCTTTTCTCCCCATGTGCATTTAGGTAGATAGATGTAATGTAATATTTCAAAAGGGTATGCTCTATTTTGCCTTTATGCTCTAAACAATTACAGATCCCCGTTGATTGACATTATAATCGTTATGGTCCTTATGGATATCTTTTTAATTTCTCCACTTCTGAACCTTTGGAATATATGCAATAGCTTGGAAATGTTAAGTAGAGCACAAAAAATAATTAGAGCTCAGTTCCGTGACCATTAGGAAAACTGAATTTTCTGATTAAGCTTCCAAAGATGTACAGATTTTTAATTCCTCCCCTTCCAAACCTTAAAATGCCAAGGTCAACTGGAATGTTAATGGGTGTGAAAAAATTGGTGGAAAAATATGCGAGTATGTATTTCCATATTGTAATATGAAAGTTCTTTTTTTTTTTTTTTTTTTTTTTTTTTTTTTTTTTTTTTTTTTAATATGAAAGTAATTTTGTTAGTTTCGTTGGACTCGGTGTTGAATAAATTTTTGGGTACATGAGTTGGGACAATGGTTATCTCATTCGAGATTCTTTTTCTTATTATTGGGTGTGTGGTTATTTGCGAAATAGTCTCTAATATTGTGTAGGTGTTGCAGCTTAATTTGCTTTTTCCCTTAGTTGTTTTTGCCTTTAGCTTTGCGCCCTTCTAATGAAGCTCCTTTTGTCTCTAATTTTTCAATGATGTAGATATTTTTTCATCATGGTCCAAAGTTTTGTTTCAATTCAAAAGGACAACTCAAAGAATAGTCAAAAGTAAGTGGCTGATAAATAACATATAAAATTTTAAACAAAAAAAAAACTCAGCCTTATAACCGACTTTGATTGATCAAATCTCAACCAAAACATGAACTCAATGGAAAACGAGATGAGGAACTCCATAGAAGAAGATGAAAAGTCTTCTCAATACGCCATGCAACTCGCAAGCGCTTCTGTTCTTCCTATGGCAATGAAAGCAGCAGCTTTGGAGCTTGGTGTGCTTGAGATCATTAAAAAAGCTGGTCCAGGAGCTCTTCTCTCAGCTTCCCAAGTAGCATCAGAGCTCAAGGCTCAGAACCGAGATGCCTCTTTGGTTCTCGATCGCCTTCTTTCTGCTCATTCGGTTCTCACCTGTTCGGTTTCCCACAGCCAATCTGATGGGAAGGCTCTTAGGCTTCATGGGTTGTCACCAGTTTTCTAAGTACTTTGTTCCAAACCATGAGGGAGCTTCCATGGCACCTTTAATGTTTTTGATGCAGGACAAGGTCTACATGGATATTTGGTAATTCATATCTATATATTTGCTAGAGCAATTCTTTCATTTTAGTTTATTGATTTTGGATGAGAATTATGCAATTCACTTTTCGACTGATATAAAGTGATCTAATCCATATTGATTTGATATCTTATCTTATCTTGATTGAATTGGATTTAAGATTATGTGAATTGGGTCAGAATGGTTTTGGTTTTAAGTGGAAAAACTAAGCTAATATTTTAGTTATGTACAATTTATTGTGTGTAAATTTTGAATTGATTTTTGGGTGTATATTTTGTTAATGATATTTATCTTTATTTTAGAGTTAGGATTGGTTATTTGATTATTCCTCTTTATTAGTAAGGGTAGATTAGTCTTTTATTATTATGCTTGTAAGGCTATATAAACCCTCTTTGATAGTTTATTCAACTAATTAGATTTTCTCTGCAATTGCAATAGAACTTTGGCATTACGTCTCTCTTTTTTTTTTTTTTTTTTTCTTTTTTTTTTTTTTTCTTTTTTTTTTTTTTTCTTTTTTTTTTTTTTTCTTTTTTTTTTTTTTTCTTTTTTTTTTTTTTTCTCTATTTTGTATTGGGTACTTCTCACATATTTCACTGGATCATGTGTCTAATCCAAGTTATAAAGCAGCTCACTATAAAATTCCACTAATTGGCTTGATTTGAATGTTAACCAAAGACTGAATTAATTGGATTGATTATCTTCAAAGTCCATGGTCATTTCAGTTGACGAGATTATATGCCTTCTCATAAAGAAACTTAACAACAACAACAACAACAATAATAATAATAATCTGTCACAACAGGCACCATGTGAAAGATGCAGTTATGGAAGGTGGTCATCCATATGAAAGGGCCCATGGAATGAATATGGTTGAGTACGTTAGGAAGGATGATAGATTTGGTGAGCTTTTCAAGTGTTCAATGAAGGAATTTAACCCCATACTAATGAAGAGGATTTTGGAGATTTATCAATGTTTTGAAGGTTTAACTTCTCTAGTGGATGTGGGTGGTGGTGGATGGCACTATCCTTAACATGATCATCTCCAAGTACCCTACAATCAAGGGCATCAACTTTGATTTGGCTTCTGTTTTAAGACAAGTCTCCAACTTATGCTGGTATGAATATGTTCCAAACTTACAGAAAATGTTTCAATTTCCTAATAGGAAAGAAGATGCTTGTTACTTGAGATTTAACTTCTTGATTTAAGGGTAAAAGAAAACGACATTTCACTAATTCTATGAGCAAATAGTGATTTGTGCAAGTAAGAATTACATTTCTTTTTAATATGGGGTGAAGAATTTTGAATTATACACCTTAAAATAGAGTTAGATGTAAATTTACGGTTAGACTAAGTATGCAACCACGTACGAATCACAATTTTAATGGTCATTCAAGTTTTAGTAGAATTAATGATAACCAACTATAGTGGCCTTGTAGAAGTCAGTTTGGTTCGTTTTTCAGTCTTAATATCTTGGGTAATTTTGCTTCAGGTATTGAGCACTGTGCAGGAGATATGTTTGTTGCCATTCCCAAAGGAGACGCCATTTTCATGAAGGTCAATTTCAATTGGCCATGTCCTATTCACATGCTTTACTGCATATCCACCAGTAAATTAATGTCATTCTATCTAACTTGTAACCTTTTAAAAAAATAATAATAATAATTTCAACACATCAGAAAATTTTGTTTTTGAGGCTCTTAAACTGATGCAATGATTTGGAAACTTGAATGAAACAGTGGATGTTACACGCTTGGGATGACGAGAACAGCTTGGTGATACTACAGAATTGCTGAGGCCTTACCAGACCATGGAAAAGTGATAGTCTGGAAACTAGCCTTGCTGCTAGAAGCTTGTTTCAATTTGACATGTTCATGATGAACACAAACATCACAGGGAAGGAGAGAGCAGAAAAGGAATTTCAAAGTCTAGCAAAAGAAACAGGATTTTCTAGCATTCATGTGGCATGTTCTGCCTTTAATTTTTCAGTCATTGAGGTCCTCAAAAGGGCATGAAATTCATTTAGACTTGTTTTGTATGTTATATCATGCATCACACTCAATAAAAATAATTTTCTCCCCTCAAAACCATTCCACAGACATTTCTTTCCCCTCAAAACATACTTATACAGGAACATCAAATTATAAGAAAAGGGGTGTTTAATCCTAAAGTTTCTATGACCGTTTTTTTCCTCGAAAATTGCTATCATCAGTGGTGGTTATCACTACTGATTTTTGAACTAGTTAAAATTTGACATCTTAATCTATGTGAGACCTGTATCATAATCAGTGAGTCGCAGAGTTACCGTCAGACGTTGTCATTGATTGAAAATGTGCGGTGATGATATAAAATCACACAACATTGTAATTTCCCATACAGGCAAACACCGTACCAGGTTTTCATAAAATGCCAGCATGTAAATACAATCACAATTAAAAGGTGTGCAGACAAAAGAGAAGCAAGTTTCTAGATGCTTAGGAACCTAATCATCCAAACTAGTTTCACTTGTAATAAAAGCGAGAATAGATCACCAGAAATTGCAAAATCCTAAAGAGAGTATAAGAGATATATGTTGCGGAGTTTTCATATTATTCCCTAAATGATGGAGGGAGTTCAGGCATTGAGAGAGACCGGGTAAGAAACAAAATTTCTGCCAACAATATGCGCATTATATATTAAAATAAGAGAAGAATTAAGGCAAAGAGCTTGCTTAAACAATATTTTGAACTAAAAAGAGAAAGATAAGTTTGAGAGATTAGCTCAACTAAATACAATACTCTACCTAAAGCTAATCGCCTCCACAAGATCTACTGACGCTCAATTTGAATTGTCACATGACTGATGTTATACTCTCTCCTGATATAGTCTATGACCTTATCTAGTACCATATCAGCATCGGCATCCGGCTTAACTATAACATGGCAGGCCAGCAAGACCTTACCAACGGTAATGGCCCAAATGTGCAGCTCGTGTATGGCAACGACTTCCTCCATCTCGCAGAGACCTTTCTCAAGCTTTGTGGCGTCGATCTCCCTAGGTGTGCTCTCCATCAGAACCTCCAGAATGTTCCGCAGCATCCTGATTGTCGTTCCCAGCACAACTACTGAAAAAATGAGCGTGCATATGAGATCGATGATCTTCCACTCAGGCTTATACCATATAATTGCCCCACCAATCATCACTCCAACACTCTGAATAGAGTCCCCAAGTACATGAAGATAAGCCCCTTGTATGTTGATATTCCATTGCCTTTTCGGTTTGGCTCCACCTGCAGCTTTCGTTTCACCTTCACAGCAATTATTAAGAAGAGGCTCAGTGAGACCAGCTTCATTAGCATTATGCTGCTCGTTATCATGTTGTGACGGCCTCCCTTGGTGAGCATGATCATGATCATCATGATCATGATGGTGATGGTGATGGTGATGTCTGGTGACACTTATCCCATGGTGATGTCTATCGTCATAACCTTCATGGCCATGACTATGGCCCCCATGTCCATGATCATGCCCATGGCCGTGATCATGCCCATGGCCGTGATCATGACCCAACAAGATTGCCATAGCAATATTAACCACCAAACCAAATGCAGAGACAACAAACATGAGAAAGCCCTTAACTTCACCAGTATCATTGATAAGTCTAGCAATGGCTTCATAAACAAGGATTCCAGCAAGAAGCCATATCATTTGAATAGAAACAAGAGCGCCCAATATTTCGATCCTGAAGAAACCATAAGATTGGCGAGGAGTCGCCTCCCAACCTGATGCCCAGATTGAGAACAAAGAAATTGCAAATGCTGCAACATCTGATAGTAAATGAGCTGCGTCTGTCAAAATCGCAAGACTGTTGGCTTGAATACCTCCAATAACTTCCACAGTCATGAAAACAACACACAGTCCTACTGCAATTAAAAGTTTCCGCATGGATGCTGATCGTTCCTGCGCATCTTTAGAACTTGCCTTGGCATCCGAAAATCCACATGGTGCTTCCCCACAAATCTTAATCCCGCGCAAGCTTTTGTCTTCATCTGGAACCTCTCCATGCACTTCAATTATATGCCCATGTTCAGAGTTTTGCTCTTCCATCTGGAAACAAACAATCACCAAAATGCGTTTTTAATTTAAACTCCATCAGTGAATATGCTAGCACATTATTATTTCACCTATAACATAAAGAAGCTTATTATTCATGACAATTATTAAGATTACAATAACAAACGCTCTGAAAATTTTAAATTCCATTCAAAAAAGCTCTCTAACTGCGGCTGAAAGGTAACAAACATATGAATAGACGCCTCAAGCAAATAAAGAAAAAGAAGCTCAGGAACACCAACAAATTCCTAAAGGCAACCAAATTCACACAACGCAACGAACAGAAGCTATCCAGTCTAACACCGATATACGTTCTTAATTCCATCTAAACAAGTAGATCCAGTCTAACACCAATATACGTTTTTAATTCCATCTAAACAAGTAGCCATCTACGGCAAAAATGTAGAAAACAAAAGAATAAGCTGCTTCAAGCAACTAAAGAAAAAATAATTTCTGGAACATCAACATATTCCTAAAGGCCACCAAATTACAGAATGCAACGAATAAAAGCCATTGTTAAATGCACTGGCTCCTATTCTATCCTAACTAACCCAGTCTCCAAAAAATTCAAGTATTTGAAAGCCATAGCGACAAGAATACCGGATACTTACAGTTTCCATCTGCAAACACGGCAGTAGATAGTATAAAATACTCCAAAATAAATGTTATTATTATTATTTAAAAAATAATAAGAAGAAGAAGAGGACTGAAAGCACAAGCCTAAAGCCTTTTACATAGACTAATCAAGCCCGAATCTGAGTAGGAATCCTAATTCAAGTAGACTTTAAAAATAAAAAAAATAAAAAAAATCCTAATCCTAATCCTAATAAAACACCAGAAAACAACACCGCAGGCATTGATGAACAAGAAAAAGCACTGGAGGGAAGAATATATGTATGCGTGTGTGTGTGTGTGCGCGTGTACACACCCCATTTTCTAAAAAATCAAATAAATCAATGGTTCTTCATCAGAAGCCTATTTCACTTGAAAAAAAGTAATGTGTGTGTGTGTGTGTGCGTGTGTGTGTACTTTTCTCAACAGAAACTGCCAAGATGATCATGAACACCAAGCAATCACCAAAAGCTTCAACCAGGCATAAAGTAAATACACGATCGCGAATAATTTTGCTCAGAAGAAAGGCAGATAATACACGAAGATTCTGGAAATACGCATTTGAGAGTAAAATTCAAGAAGAATCCAATTTCCCAGAAACGAAAATAAATTAATCAAAAAGCAATACATACCTCAGTCAGTTAACAAGAAGATGAAGAAGATATATACACATATATACACATATATATATATAGAGAGAGAGAGAGAGAGAGAGAGAGAGAGAGAAAGACTGAAATTCTGGAAAAACTAAATCACATACGGAAAAGACTAACAAGTTCTTATTTTGAGCCACACCCATATATTAAAAAAACAAAAACAAAAACAAAATCACGAGATAATCCAGTTTATATCACGTCAGAAAGTGCCATAAAAATAAATAAAAAAAGCAAATGCCCAAAACTAATCCACATGAATAACACCACCCCATAGAAGAGAAGAGGACTGATTTGAATAAAATATAATATCACTTGAAAAAAGAGGATCTGCAAATCCGCAAAAAAGAGCATAAACCCACTATTATACGAAAAATAAATAAATAAATAAATAAACAATAGAGAGAGAAAGAGAGAGAAGGATACCTCAAAACTGAACGCGAAAGAATGGGTCTGAAAGGGGAGAGATTGAAGAAGCTAAGAAGCGAAGGAATAATGGGTATATTATTGAAGCAAAATGGTCCTGAGATTCTTCCAGAAACAGAGGCTGGCTACCAGGTTATTATATGCGTATATACATTCATATATATTCATATTGAGGTTAAATAAGAGACGTTCAAACAAATATTTTAAAAAATAAAAATAAAACTATTGACTGCGATAGAAAGGACTTCATTTTTTCCTTGGCTGTCAGAATTGAAAGTGGGTGTCTTTCGAGGCCTTTTTAAAAATAACTAAAAACGATCACTTTTTATAAAAAGAGATAAGGTGATCATTTTTTATAAAAAATAAATATTATTTTATTAATTTTACTTTGTTAAATAATTATTTTAGGGGTTGTTTGGTTAGAGGATTCGTAACCTGATTCGAATCATAGTTCGTGATTCGTTATAATATTTTTTCTCATAAAAAATATACGTAAATTAAAAATAATTTTAATCTATGAACCAAACGTCTCCTTAGTATATTTTTCGTATCTTTTTGTCTAGTTTTTTTTTTTATTTTTTATTTTTTTTATAGGAGAATCTATGTTTTCATAGAATTTGTAATTCGTTTGGTAGCAATTTAGTGGTCATCAATAATTTTTTCAGTTTTTACCCTTTATTTTTTCTAGGGCAGCCATTTGTGACTTTTTACCTCCTCTATTTTAAGAGAAAATAATAAAAATGGGAATATATGATCTTTTTTTTTAAGTTTTCTAGTGAGATAATTCGAGAAAGAGCGAGGAAGAAGGAGAATAGTTTGGCCGCCTACTGGAAGCACGTCTCCGGTCAATCGACTTCTAAAATACACCCACATGCTTTGCGTCAGTTGATCTACACGATGGTGGAGTCCATATTGGTATTTTCTTCTCTTTTTTTAGTTGTTCGTGGAATAAAGACAATCATTCAGCTGGTGTTGGTGTTTGTTTTTCCCTAAAATTCCCTACAAATCATTAGATATGTGTGGCCTTGGTTGTTTTTGTTGTTTTTTGTCGTGTTCTCCCACCAATTTATAACCTTGTGGGGTTTTGGGTTGTTCTTTATATTCTATATGTCTTTAGCCAGATCTCCCGTTTCGGTGAGCGTGATCTAAAAGAATACTGTCTTTTAGAGGTCGGTCTTTACATATAGTTTGCTATAGTCCTTTCGGGAGATCCAAACATGGAAGGAGAATTAAACGAGCCAAGAGAAATGCTCCAAATTGTGTCCATTATTGGACCTTGGATCCCTGTACTAGGACGCCAATGGATCTATCGATTTTAATTTGTTGTATCAAGTTTTCTATATTGAGTTCTCTATAAGCTTCATGGTTTTTTTTTTTTATTAATGACATGTTTTTTGCATTAAAAAAAAGACTTCTATCTTTTGGAGAATGCCCCTAACCTCTTTAGTAGGTGACAGTTCGGTCCTTATTCTTTTACTTTTAGCAAAATGATCCCAACATTATTAAATTATTGAACCTAAGTCCAATTTGTCTAGATCCGTAAAATTACCTACATTTAAACCTGTGTAACCCCTAAAAAAACAAAATTGCCCTAAACCCATCTCCTAAATTCGTATCATTCTAATTTGATAATCAAAAGTTATGATTTTCTAAAAAGGGGATTTCTTTCGTGGGAAATTGAGAGAGCGTTTGATTTGGATGATTCACCCTCCATTGAGTCGGATTTAGCTTGCATTGACTACGGTGAGAGTAGGTTGGTGGGAAGATGCTTGTGCGACAAGTTAAAGGAGCTAGAACCAAATTGACAAAAAAATAAAAATAAAAACAAAACAAAAAATCACCACAAAATAACCTAAAAATATAAAACTGACCACTAAAAACTGGTTTGAATCATCATAAAATCACCAATAATCTCAAACTATAAAATTGATTTCAAATAACAAATAATTAAAATAAAATCACCAAATTTGGTTTGAAACTCCATTAAAAAAAATCTGGTTTGAAACACCAGAAAATCACCTTCAAATAACCATAAAATCACCAAAAAGGTGAAACAATAAAACTGATTCAAAATTAACGATAAATTAAACAAAACAAGTCGTAAAAAAAAACTTTAAACTGAAATTTTGTCAACAAAAACAAACACTGTAACAAGAACTGATCATCAAATTTGCATTGCTTACCATTAATGGATATTATATTACAAAATAGCAAGGCAAATCCAAAACAATTTCTACATTAAATTCCTACATCAATACACCTTTCAATTTACAAACAAACACCACTGTTGAGGGTTAAAATTAGTCAACAGGTTAATAATAAGTTTTTTGGTGATTTGTGAATAGATTAGGGATAAGATTCATAGACTCAAAAGAAGAATAACAACACCAAAAATTATAGTGGTTCACTCCAATATAGAGTTACATCCACTGAGAGGGTTTTATTATTCTTCGTAGAAATTACAAATTATGGGGATAAAGGTGTTCTAGAATCTGAATCCCTCTCAGGCCATTCTCCTTGTATATATACATCATATTACCTCTGTCAATTATCAATTGTTTAATCAAATCTCATGATATCTTCACCAAACTCCGGAACAGTAGTCTCTGATCACTGAGATTTTAGCCAGTCTGCCCGATTTTCTCCACCAGCTTCGCCACATATTCTGCATGCATTTAATACATGTCAAATCTTTTGTACAGTTATCACTTCAGTCTGGACGTGGGTGGGTTCGTCGCTTTCAGCTCTTTCGAAGCGATCTTCGTTCATGGCCAGTAAAGCATTCGTCTCCATATCGTGGTCTTCCTTTCCTGCAGTCGATCCCTTCAGCGGAGTTATTTAACTGAGCAAGGGTTGACGTCCATGAAGTGCGCTCTACTACCACTCCGTACCCTCCTGTCTCAATTATTTTACGCTTTAATTGCGCCACGTGGCGCCCAACCATTGCCTCATGTGGGGTTTAAGGTTTTACCCCACAACAACCACGATTACAAAAATGAAGAACAAAACCCATTTCCACGTGCTACTCCCACCGGAATTAATTAGCTTTTGCATTGTCTTCAATAGATTCTCTAGAAATTTCTCTCTCACGGTAGGTATTGTTGATTTTCTCAAGTTGAGCTTCTAAATCATTAACCTTTCTCAGCAACCCATGTATGATCATCTTCGATCTCCTACATATGGGTGAGTATTTCCAGACAAAATTGGTGTAAGGATGACATCCTTCACGTTGGGAAAGAGATATAGAACAGATTCCAAACACAAAATCTAAAATTCCGAATTTCCAAAAACCATTTTAATGAAAAACAAAACTTACTCCATGTAAATGACACCTATAAAATCTGTGCTCAAGGTTGAAGTCTGTCCAAAAAGTGATTACCTTTGTAGATTTTGGATTCTCACAGTCACACAAAGGGGTTTCTTCCATTACATCCCTAATTTGAAGAAAAACTTCAAGAACCTTAACTTTTGTCACGTTTTTCTGAAGAATATCAGCCTCAAATTGAATAAAATCATAATTTTACGAAAACAACCCTTGTAATCAGGTTACGTGAGGGGTCACATGGGTTTTAACGTAGGTAATTTCATGAATCTGGACGAAAATGACTTAATTTCACCAATTTAATGACGTCGGGGGCCATTTTACCAAAATTAAAAAAAATAGGGACTAAATTATCACCTACTAAAGAGATTAGGTACCCTCTATGCCAATTATCCTTTAGAGAAGGAAAATATTTTGAATTATAGGATAAAGTGGGAAAAAATTACTCTATTTGTATACGATTCAAATCATCAGTTCAAACCCACTAAAAAACAATATCTGCTCAATTTTTTATATATTACAAATGATATCTAACCATATCATGTAATACTATTTAATGAACTTAAATATTAAAGCATAAAAAATAAAGGTGCAATTCGCTTTATTAGTTCAATTTACAACTTAAATTTTTGTTACAGTATTTTTTCTCATAAAAATTAAAATTTAATTTTTTCAGTTACAATGTTTTCTCTCATATAAATTTAGTTTTTAACTCAACTTCTTCATTCGAATGAGCGAAATGAATGAAGTCAACATTTTAAATAGTGTGACGTAATATAGTTAGTTAGGCACTAATTTAGAACATTAAAATTAAATAAGTGATTTAAATTTATCTTGTATGTGCCAAGTAAAATTTCATTTTAAATTATTTTTTTAAAAATAAATAACTTATCATAGGGCTGAAGCCTTTGGGTTTGTACCACACTAAATCCTTAGTGCGTGTTGGGCATATATAGCAGGTGGGTCCTAACAAAAGGACCACTTTTCTCGATAAAATTATTAAACTTACTCTTGAAGTGCATACGCCTAAATTTTCACCTCGTATTATTGATTAATTCAATTTTTATTCATGTAATTATTTAACTAAAATGGATATTAATTAAGAGTAAGAGGTAAAAATTCAGACTCGTAGACTTTAAGAGTGTGTTTGATAGGAGAGATAGATAGAGGGAGAGAAAGAGATAGAGGGAGGGGTCTAATCTCTTGTTTGATTGGAGGGAGATGAGTAAGGAGAGGAGAGGTGGATGGATGAGGTCTTCCTCATGGCCACCAAATTAGACCCTTCCATTGATGGAAGGATCCGAACAATCTTTCACTTTAAACTTTAAAAGACTATTTCACTCTCTAAATTAATTGTTAACAAATAGTTTAAATAGACAATATAATAATTTAATAAATAATTATCATCCACTTTTTCAACACTTCTTCTATCCTACTAAACAACATGAAGGATTACTATAATTCTCTCAATCCTTCATGCTCTTCATCGTTACAATTATTTCCTCTCTCCATCTTTTCTACTCTCTATTGTTCCAATTAAACAGAGCCTAAGGGGTATTTGCTTTTCTCTTTCTTTCTTTTCTCATATCTGGAGTTGTTGTGAAGCCTAAAAATTGAAACCTAATAGCAGTGCTCTTTATCGTAATGTTTTTGTCTAAATTTTAACCGTCATATCTATTTAGAAATTATTTAAAATTTTGGAATAATTTATTAGAATAAAAAGTTCAGAGATAAAGTTATTAAATCGTGAAATTTAAAGGATAAAATTGCTAAATAACTTTGGTCAGAAAGCTCCGTCTAAATGATCAAGATTTTTTTTTCTCTAGGCTACTTATAAGGAAACAACTTACAAAGTATAACAAATGCAAAAAAAGGTTTTATCCAATTATTATTGTTGTCATTATTGTCCTTATTGTCCTTATTATCGTTGTTGTCGTTATTGTCGTTATTGTC